TTTTGCCACTTCCGGTTTTGGCACTTTGTTTACCTGGTTGTTGGCGGCCAGGTAAGCAACTGTTCAGACCAAAACCCCCAAAAAAACCCCAAAGTTTAAAATAAAGGGAAAAAAAAAGTTAAAGCGCCCCCCTCCCCCCATGCTTATGTGCAAACGCAAACACGTGTCCTGCACACACATGCAGGAATGTCAGAGCAAGAGCAATCATTTTGGCTCCAGACCTCCTGTGTTACTCTAAACTGGTAACCTGTAAAGGCTTTTAAAACGTTGCCTAGGGAGATTTGTAGGTTCCATAGTTTTGGTGACACTCCACGGGTTTACTCAATTTTAAAGTGTGACATATTGGGTATCTATTTAATCCGCATAACAACATTTTCTATATTTTAACAAAAATAGACACTCAATTTTTTATTTCACAAAAACACCATATACTACCTATTATTTTTTTTTTTTGCAAAAACATTTAATCTGGAAAACCACTGCGCAAATACTGTGTGACATAAAAAATTGCAACCCACCATTTTTTCTCTAGGGCCTCTGCAAAAAATAAATAAATAAATATATATATATATATATATATATATATATATATATATATATATATATATAATATATAAAATGCTGATTTTTACATGTAGGTGGGAAGTGTCAGAATTGTCCTGGGGGGAGGAGGAGTCTGAACGTGGCGCAGAGAGGGAGCTCAATGAGACCCGTTAGCCTGATATGCTTGGGAGGTGGTAATTTACCTGGGCTGGGTGTGGGTCTGACAGGAGAGCGGTACTCCCTGTATGGCTGGCCAGCAGTGGCGGCGGCAAGTGGCAGTGCTGGAGCGGAGGAGGGAGAGGGAGGGGCGGATTGATCAAAGAGGAGGCGGACTGTGCAGGAGTCCGGAGGGCATCAGGCGATCATATGGGCGCCGCAGAGATGCCGGCCAGGCTGCCACGGAGGAGATCCAGGTGCATCCACCGGAAGGCTGTTTCTGCTTAAGACCCTAGGAACCCCACGGAGGGTTAGGAGGGCCCTGCTCCTTGGAGCTTACAAGGGGAAATTGGAGAGGGTCATGGGGTGGGTGGGAGAGGGGAAGGGAGGGAAGGGAGGGGAAAGGGTAACTTTGTAGGGGTTAGCTCCGTGTTCCTCTGGAAGGATGATGGTACTCTCTCTGGGAAGAATTCGGGCAGAGGAAGAAAAACATGGAGGAGGTTAACTTTACAACCTATAATGTTAAGGGTCTGAACATCCTGGGGAACAGGTTTAAGCTACTCAGAGAATTACAACAATGATCCATTGCAATAGTGATTTTACAGGAAATTCACTTATTACAGGTAACTAATGTGAAGTTATATTCTAGGTATTATCCAACCTGGTTTTATGCAGGTTCACCAACTAGGCGTGCTAAAGGTGTGGCAATTGGTATAGCTAAAAACTTAAGGTTCAAGTTGGATGAGAAGTTGAGGATCCTAAGGGGCGTTTTCTGTTTTTAAGGGGGAAATAACAGGAAATAGAGTGTACATTTGTAAATATTTATTGCCACAACCTATCTGAAAAGTATATTGAGAAGTCTACCTTAATTTTTAAACAGGTAAACTAATTGTGGCAGGAGATTTTAATTTTTGCATGGACCCCCGGATTGACACGATGTTGCATGTGCAGAGAGAAGGAGGGAAATCTCTGAAATCCATACGAAGATTGTTATATCAATGTCAACTTGTGGATGTCTGGAGAGCTAAACATCCTAGAGACAGGGACTATACTTTCTACTTCCTGGCACATGCAACACATTTGAGATTAGATTACATGTTGATGGACCATAGACGTTTGGAGTCGCTGTTTAAAGTAAATATTGAAGTTAAAACAATATCGGACCATGCACCTGTTACAATGAAGTTATCATGGGAAAGAGAGCAGAATAAGTTAAACATGTGGAAATTAAATGAGACACTCCTTCAGGATCATGAGACAGAACTGAGAATAAAAAAGAAATAAAACAGTACTTTGAAAAAAAAATTAGACTGAAGGAGTTTCAATGGCCACGGTGTGGGAAGCACACAAGGCATATATCAGGGGAATTGTGATAGCAATTGGGGTAAATAAAATAAAAAGGAACAAAACAAGACCATTAATACGCTTTTAAGGGATTTACACGAATTAGAACAGTTACATAAAAAGAGAATAGCAAAAGAGATTCAGCAGAGCATAATAAGTAAGCGAGAGGAATTATGTAATTTTAATGGAGGAAGAAACAAGGAGAACATTTAACATGATGGCAAGAGAGAGATACTGGTGGGGGAATAAACCAGGGGAACATTTAGTGAGAGCACAGAGAAATAAGAAATCAAGGAATTCTATAGAGAAAATTAAAGATAATGGTAAACTGGTTTACTCAACTGCTGATATCACTAACGTATTTAAAAATATTCCAAAACGGTCAAAAGGAGAAGAGGATGAAGAATTGGAAAGAGACAGATATACTTAAAGGAGGCGGGATTACCGAGACTAGGGGAAGAACGGTTAATCTGCCTAGAGAAAACCAATAACGCAGGAAGAAATCCAGGTAGCACTGAATGGTACAACAGTGGGGAGGAGCCCGGGGCCAGATGGGTATACTGTGAGATGTCATAAAAAATGTAAAAATCAATTAGTACCTAAACTGAGTTTGTATATGAGAGTTTTATATATGAATGCATTAGGAGAGGGGTTGGAAATGAGGGAGGAATCCTTGCAAGCTCATATCACAATCATTCAGAAAGAAGGAAAAGATGGAACTCAATGCATTAGCTATCTCATTGCTAAATATGGATACCAAATTATATGCTAAGGTCCTGGCAAATAGGTTGAAATACCTAATGCCGGTACTGGATTCATATAGACCAAGTGGGATTTGTCCCTGGGAGGGAGAGAAGAGATAATGGGTTGAGATCACTGCTTCTAATACAAAGAAGTAAGAGAGAAAAATCCCCTTTATTGATTTTATCAGTGAATGCAGAGAAGACTTTTGATAGGGTGGACTGGGGATTTATGTTAGACACGCTGGAAGTTTTGGGGATAGGCCCCAAGATGAGGGAGTGGATAAGGAAGCTATTTAGTCAACCCTCTGCAGCAGTAAAGGAATTCTTTAAGATGTTCAATGGGACAAGGCAGGGGTGCCCGCTTTCGCCTTTGTTGTTTGTCTTATCTTTAGAACCTCTTCTGGCAACAGTAAGAAATAGTATAGATATAAAAGGGATTCAGATAGGAGAGACAGAACATAAGATAGCAGCGTATGCTGATGACATGCTATTTTATGTGGTCAATCCTAGGCTGACATTACCCAATAATGAAATATTATGGAGAGTTGTGAAATCTAAAAAATTAATCCGGTAAAATCAGAGATTCTAAATGTGAGTGTTCCGAGAACTGAGAAGAAAGCTTTACAAAAAGAATTTCCCTTTTTCATGGAAGGAGAGAATTTAAAATGTTTTGCAATAAAATTAACCTAGTCCTTAAAGAATTTATATGAAATAAACTACATCCCATTAATAAATGACCACTCAGTATGATTTTCACGTATTTTTGATTGGACACATAACGCACTTGGGAAAAATTGGGTAAATATAGAAAACACACTAAGCGAGACACAATTGAATAGGATGGTGTGGTTGCCACATCAATATCGTAGATTGGCAGAGAGCACAAGCACTTACACGAAATGTATTAAGAATTGGGATGTAATTCCCAAACAAATGGAATGTGAGTTCAATTTCATGTTGATGTCGGTGGGGGTACAGATTTTTTCCCACCAGGGAAAGAAAATATTTTGGGGATAAGAGGGGATGCACAGTTAAAATATAATGAATGGTGGTGAAATCTGCTCCCTTCAGGAGCTGAAAAATAAGGAGGGGTTGTTTTCTAGATTAGATAAGTGGCGATATTTTCAATTAAGACACTGTGGCAATGCTCCCTAAGCCCTTCAGGACAACAGCGGAATTGAACCCATTCGAACAATTGTTAGGCACATGCAGGTAAAGGAAGCACGGTACTTCTCGAATTTATAAAATTCTTACTTTAATAACAGAAGTCACTCTTCACCTGTATATGGAGAAATGGGAAAGTGAACTTCATTGATGAGCAACAAAAAAAGAAAATCTTCAGATTAGCACATGGGGCTGTAGATATGAAAGTGGTGGAAATTATTTACAAATGCTTAGCTAGGTGGTACATCACGCAGAGTGTGGCACATAAGCAGTATGGAGATAAAATAGATATGTGTTGGCGGGAGTGTGGGATCAAGGACACAATGGCACATATATGGTGGGAGTGTCCTAAAGTCCAGGAATATTGGGGGGGGGGAATAATTCACCAAATCCAGGAGATAATTGGGGTTACGATCCTGAAAGAGTTTAAGAGATCAAAAAATATAGTGAAATGGGAAAATTAGAGTAAGAGGAGACAAGAGGATATGTATAATTAAAAAGGGAAAAGTAAGACCGGAAGAAAGAGGGCATCCTAAGGAGACTCGGGTGTGTGACGAGGAACGGGAAGCTAAGGGAGGTATGGGGGGGAGGGAGGGACATGGGGGAGGTGGGTTCTTTGGGGGTATGTTTTTTAAAGGAACATTTAATTTTTAATGTTATGATAACTTTTTGTTCTGAAGTGGTGTTGAAATGTGAAAACTAATAAAAGATTACCATTAAAAAAAATCCTCCTGGGGGGAGGACTGGTTAAATACACCTACAACCATATATTGTAGGGAGAATATATTGCTTCCAGAGCAGTAGGTCTGATGTGTGGGGAAGATCCATGCAGCTGCTCTTGTCTTTGATTTTTAATAGACAGCTGCCGGAAGCTACATGAGCATCTGTCACTCTAGTGCTCATAAACACATGCTCTATGGGCCTCTACACCTGTGCGAATGTGCCCGTAGACTAGCCAGCTGTTTACAGTTGAAACACCTGTACATTTACTTTTGTATTTTTTAAAATTAAATGTTGCTCACGCTGCATTATACGTTTTTTACCTTCCAGGATCTTCAAGAACGGAGCGCATTAAAATTCCATTAACTCCAAGATATGTGAGAGGCCCAGTGGGCTCAGATAGGGGTAAGTTAAAAAAAAAAAACAGTAATATTTGTAGCAGCATCGCTGCTCTAATTAAGTGATACCAGAGATATCTCTTGCATTGAGCAGTACACAGCTCTGTTACTGTCATGTAGTTATGCTCATATAGAGTTTATGAAAATGAGTTTAGTGTTCTGGAAAATAATAATGTGAGTCAGTTACTTTGGGCTTGTGTTAAAACAAATAGACATATCATTTGTTTCTTGAGAGCTGGAGTGAAACCAAGATTGCCAGCTATCAAAAATAACAGTGTTACAGTGTTTACTGTGGCTACTGTTCTACAAGAAAAAAGCAAAAATATGCGGTATTGTCTGTTGTCCTAGTTGACAACACTGTGGCATAACTTTGCTACAGGAACTAACTAGCATGGCATTCAGTATGCAGCTGTATTCTACATTCAGAGATATAAATGTGTTTGATGGGCATGCTTACTGACTAGGGTATTGTTTGATATGCCTGATCATTAGCACTGGTCTGGTCCTGATTACAAGCTAACTGCAGCTATCTTTCCTTGTAGGATCCCTGTCTCAGTCTGAATGTAGCAGCCCCAGTTTATCCAGTCCTCCTCATTCTCCTTTAAACTTGGAAACATCATCATTTGCAAGCAGCCAGTCACAGAACTCCATCGCCAGCTTACCAAGGATATCAATAAGCACTGTGCCAATGGGGGAACGAAGGAAAGACAGGTGAGGTTTATTGAAATTATTATTATTTATCTTTTAATATATATTAATCAGGCATTGTTAAAAATGGTAGTGATACTAAAGGTTCAGATTAAAAACAAAAAAACAAACGTCATACTTACCTGCTCTGTGCAATGGTTTTGCACAGAGCAGTCCCTATTCTCCTCCTCCTCCTCCATACTCTGGGGGCACTCATGCTGCCACTGCCAAGCCACCTCTGTGTGTCTATAAGACACACCAAGCAGGGCTCAGCCCCGCCTCTACTACATCCTCACTGGCTATGATTGACAGCAGCAGGAGGCAATGGCTCCCTCTGCTCTTTTCAGCCAATAAGGAGGGAGAGACCCAGGAGAGCCACTGCTGTCGTACACAGCGCTGGATCGAGATGGGGATCAAGTAGGTATTGGGGAGCTGAGGGGGGAGCACCTTCATGCATAGAATGCCTGAAGGTAAAAAAAACCTTCAGCCTTTCAAACCACTTTAATTTAAAACTAAACTGTTGGCATACAGCTAAATATACATTAGAAGAAGCTTGTAGCTATGGCCTGACTTTTCTTTGATGCAGTTAAGCAGTACAGCTAGGTTACCTCTGTCCCCATCATGGAATGGGAAAAAAAAAGAAAAGAGATGTGCTGATGACTCACAACTCCACTGTCTCCTATAAGCATATTTCTTGTAAGCATACACTATATTGCCAGAAGTATTGGGACGCCTGCCTTTACACACACTTGAACTTAGTCCGTAGTGTTCAATATTGAGTTGGCCCACCCTCTGCAGCTATAACGGCTTCAACTTTTCTGGGAAGGCTGTCCACAAGGTTTAGGAGTGTGTCTATAGGAATGTTTGACCATTCTGCCAAAAGCTCATTTGCGAGGTCAGGCAAAGATGTTGGACAAGAAGTCCTGGCTCGCATTCTCCTCACTAATTCATTCCAAAGGTGTTGAGGCCAGGACTCTGTGCAGGCCAGTCAAGTTCCTCCACCGCTAACTCGCTCATCCATGTCTTTATGGCCCTTGCTTTGTGCACTGGTGTGCAGTCATGTTGGAACAAGAAGGGGCTATCCCCAAGCTGTTCCCAAATTGTCCAAAATGTGGAAATAAATGGCCAAGCCCAACCCTGAAAAACATCCTCACACCACAATCTCCCCCTCCACCAAACTTTACACTGGCACAATGCAGTCAGGCAAGTACCGTTCTCCTGGCAACCACCAAACCCAGACACGTCCATCGAATTGCCAGTCAGAGAAGAGTGATTCGTCACTCCAGAAAACATGTCTCCACTGCTCTAGAGTCCTGTGGCGGCGTGCTATACAGCACTGCATCCAACGCTTTGCATTGCCCTTGGTGATGTAAGGCCTGGATGCAACTGCTCGGTCATGGAATGCCATTCCATGAAGCTCTCTATGCACTGTTGTGCTAATCTGAAGGCCACACAAAATTTGGAGGAATTTAGCTATTGACTCTGCAGACAGTTGGCTGACCCTGCTCTGTCATTTTATGTTGCCTACCACTTCATGGCTGAGTTGCTGCTGTTCCCAGTTGCTTCCACTTTGTTATAATACCACCAACAGTTGTCCATGGAATATTTAGTAGCAAGGAAATGTCACGGATGGACTTATTGCACAGGTGGCAACCTATCACGGTACCACGCTTGAATTCACTGAGCTCCTGAGAGTGACCCATTATTTCACAAATATTTGTAGTAGCAGTCGGCATGCCTAGGTGCTTGACCTTCATACACCTGTGGCCATGGAGGTGATTGGAACACCTGAATCCAATGATTTGGAGAGATGTCCCCATACTTTTGGCAATATAGTGTAGGTGTACTGCTGCTAAGCTTTATTGGCCTCCAATGCTCCCCCTCCTTCCCATAGTCAAAATGCTGATGTGCATGCTGTTAAGAGGCGGATACCAAGTCAAATTAAAAATGCTGAAAAATACAGTTTAATTCATTTTGGAATAAACATGATTGCATTAACTGTTAACATCTGCTTGGAGTTTGTTTAAAATAAAATGCATTTCAGAAGGGTTTTTCATGGTAGCTCTTTTAAAAGTGGGGCTTTGTCCACTCAGAGAACAGTGTCAAATTGCAACTTTGCCTGCTTAATTAATCTTTATAGATGCAGTCTGGTGGCAGGAGCTTATATTGTATAAGTAAAAAAGCCTACATTTCTGTGAATAATAGAGGATTGAAAATAGAATAGTGAATCTTATCTTTTTTTTTTTTTTCAGTTTTAAATATCCACATTATGAAAGCAGATACCCTATTTTTATTTGAAAAAAAAAAAAAAAGTCCACCTAATAATGTTGTATTTAACAACTGCCACCTGAGTAATTTTATTAGTATAAATGTTATTTTGGTTTGACCCAGGCTGTTTATGCCTAAGCTTGCTTGTAGAAAAGTTAGATTTGTGTGTTTTTAGTCAAACAGGTAAAATAAAGAAAAACTTTTCTTTTATGATACAGATGAATTCTGAGTTAATTCTAAGTTGTATGTGTTGTGTTAAAATGTTGTTTTTTATATGGTGTTTTTTGTCTATTAAATGTCAGTTATTATTAATTTATTTCTTTCCTCTTTTTCCTTCTGCTAACATGGTCTGTTATTTCATCAACCATTTAACCGTATACACAATGCTTTATTTGTGCAAATCATTCCCTATTTAAATTGTGCCTTCCTTCAATCCTTTGTTTTACATTTTACTTATTTCACTTTGTTTTTTACTATCTCTGTCCAATCTCCTCCCTCTCTACCTTGCATGTGTGAACATTTACCCTCCTTTGTCCTGAGCACCCCTTCTCTCTCTGATGCTACACTACTTATGACATTGCACTCCTATCCTTTCAATCAATATTTTGCTCTTTTCTCTCTAAAGTCATTACTACTTCTTCCCTCATGTTTCATCTTCCAGATATGTTTTCCGCACTAGGTCCTTACTGAGGCTTCCAGCCCGTTCTAGGCCCAGGTTTTCCTCAGTAAGATGCTTGAGGTCTGCCACTTGTCTTGCTTCCTTAGTCTATATGAGTCTTCTGCTTTTTTGAAAGTCTCCCCCAGCCCAGTGGTATTCATTTGTTGCTTTCATTCTGCTTTTTCCTCCAAAATTTCCCAGCTCTTGTAGCATGTTGGAATGCTTTTTGCTGTTTCCATACAGTCCATGGCTCTCTGGGGTGGGTATGCATTGCACTTGCTGGTCATTCCTATAGCTGAATTGTGAGGCTTTGTCTTCTTTTCAGTTGTTGCATGTTGATGCATGCAGTGGTTACACAAGAGTTTTGGGAGGGGTATAAAGAAAAAATAAATAAAATGGGAAGGGTCATGATCAAGCTGGAAATTGTATCAGATAGCTTTTTATGTGGTTGTTGGTGTTCTTTTTAAATTGCTGAATACTGCAATAGAAATTGTAAGACAAAGAAAAATAAACATGTTTGTATGTCAGAATATTCATGACAATCACTGAATTATGAGGCATAACAAGATCTAGCTTTTCTGTAATCTAAAGACATGGGAAACAAAAGTGCGTGTGATAAAAGTATGAATCAGTGATTTTTATTTTTTTTTTGTACTAAGGAAGTAAGGATTAAGACAGCCAAGTTTCTAATTTTTAGGGACTCTTTAATGACTGGCATATAGTACCACTGGATTGGTGTAAGGCCAATGTGGTGCCAATATTTAAAAAGGGGTCAAAATCTTTACCAAGTGATTATAGACCTGATAGTATAACTTCTATAGTTGGGAAGATACTGGAGTGTTTACTAAAAGACCACATAGATGAGTTCCTGCTGGAAAAAAATATTTTAAGCAACAGACCGCATGGATTCATTAAAGACAGAAGTTGTCAAACAAATCTGATTTCTTTTTATGAGGAGGTGAGCAAAACCTTGGACAGAGGGGTGGCGGTAGACGTGGTATACTTGGATTTTGCAAAAGCGTTTGACACAGTTCCCCACACACGGCTAATGTGTAAGGTAAAGTCTACAGGCTTGGAAAAATCTGTATGTACATGGGTAGAAAACTGGCTAAAAGATCGTATTCAGAGAGTAGTGGTTAATTAATAATACTCTGAATGGTCTAGGGTTGTCAGTGGTGTACACCAAGGTTCAGTGTTGGGACCCTTACTTTTTAATATATTTATAAACAATATAGGGTCTGAGATTAAAAATCCCATTTCAGTCGTCTTTGCAGATGACACCAAGCTGTGCAGTAAATAACGTCCTTACAGGATGTCTCCTATTTACAAGCCGACCTCAATGCACTGTTTAATTGGGCAACTATGTGGCAAATGAGGTTTAATGTTGATAAATGTAAGGTTATGCACTTGGGGGCTAAGACTATGCATGCATCATACATACTAGGGGGAGTACAACTGGGGGAATCAATGGTGGATAAAGATCTGGGATGTCTGGTAGATCACAAGCTTAATAATGGCATGCAATGCCAAGCTGCGGTAAAGTTGATCCAGGGAATATCAGATTGCCTCTCCGGGTATCGGGAATGAATTTTTTTCCCTGCAGAAGCAAAGTGGATCATGCTTTTGCTGGGGTTTTTTTTTGCCTTCCTCTGGATCAACTGTGGGGGTTTTTTTTGCCTTCCTCTGGATCAACTGTGGGGTTTTTTTTTTTTTTTTTAATGGTTGAACTGGATGGATTTTTTTCTTTTTTCAGCCAGACTATATAGCTATGTAAGACCTACTTTCAATCTTTACCCATTATTGAGCTTTTTTTGTCATTACAGTCTGGTGTTTTTTAACACTTTTTTTGGACATTAATTGCAAGGGGCCATCTAGTTACAAGCTATCTTGTAGAGATTTGTCTAACATACTTCATAGCCACTAGGTAGCATAAGCTTTTGGAAAACATTAATTGGGTGAAAGCTATGGACATGTATAGCAAAGACCAACTTAGTCAATCAAGACTCATGTTTTGATTTACAGATCAGCTTGAACACCATCCTTCTTTGGCTTTCAACCCTGAATGGAAGGGTTAAGGGAACTGCAAAACTGTGACGACAGATGATGAATTTTGCATCTTTATTTGATGAATAAGGTCTAAATATTCTGCGTGGCTTCCACTGTATGCTGCACAGCTCAACTGACTAAGTGTTTCTGATGCTCCCACCATAGTTTGTATTAAATTCTGATACAGGCCAGACATGTATGAAGATTAGCTGTGTTATAATTATCAGCTTGGTTGATGGTTATTCTCCTCTAAGCACCTATAGTTAGTTATTAGGGGCACTAATGGAGTGGATAAAGACAGTTTCTAATCCTGCTCTGCTGACAATGTGTTAATATGGCAGCACTGTTTTTGGGTTTTTTTTCTCCCTAATGGTCTAGGAGCACCTTAGCAATGTCTCTGAAAACACTGATTGAAAAAGATGATGTATTGACATATGGTGGACATACAGATCATGAGATCTTGTTTTTAGTATAATGTGGGTATTTCTAGCTTTACCTTCTTTGTTTTTGTGAGCTAAACCACCTTAATCTTATCCTTGTTGCTTTAGTTCTATGTGTTGTGTATTTTGTTAACGAAACTATGATTTTAGTAAAGCATGATGCTGCACTTGTTTATGTAGAGGGTAATTGAAGAGTGTGTGGTTTTGGTATTCGGAAACATTTTAGTAAAAGTAATAATTATTTTATGTTTTAAATGGTACATTGAGCTCTGTTTCCTTTTTCAGGCCACTAGTGGATGAGCCTCGACATGTCCGAGTACAGAAAGGTGCTGAGCCCTTGGGAATTTCTATTGGAGGAGGAGAGAGTGGGGGAATATTTGTATCAAAGGTGATGGCAGGAAGCATTGCACAGCAAGCTGGGTTGGAGTATGGGGACCAGTTGTTGGAGGTAAGGTTTTCTCCAATGCCAATTGATGAAAATGTAGCAGTTTGGGAGATCCTGTGCTTCTTTTGTAAAGCAAACTGTAATGCTCTGCTTACTCAATCTTCAGTTCAGTTTCATTAGCATCATGAAGGGTCCTAAAAAATACAGCATTCTATATTACACTTTATAAACTTAATCTTGAATTTTACCATGATCTGAAGAATATCCATAGATATTAGCTGATCACTGCCCACTGCTGACAGTTTCGACAGTAGGGAGTAGTGATTGTTTCATAGCTTTACAGTACAGGATCCAGGCTCTTTAGTCATTATGACTGGGTTATACGCAGTTACCTTCACGTATTGGACACCAGCAAAAAAAAGAAGGCTGCAGGGACATCCTCCTATACAACCACTCCCAGTTAGCATCATTTTTTACTAGGTGAGGGACCTCCTCTCTCTATGATCTTCCACTATGCTAATGCATCTATCAAGATTCCTGCTGTACCACAACCACTGCAGCTTCCAGATCAGTTGACTCCTTGGCAGTGCCTTAGGGGACCAGATCTGGACCCCAACAGATGGAAAAAGTGGGCCAGCCTGTAATGTTGATGACATGCGCTGCATCCTGCAGTAGTTCAATGGTGTGTACAGTGCAGAAGCCTGTTAAACATTTTTATCCAGAGTCTCCTTTTTGTTCTTCTGATACCTTCCAGTACTCATGGCTGAATGCTGGTAATACAGAGGTCTCTTTAACCACTTCCTGTCCGGACACTTTTACCCCATTCCTGTCCAGGCCAATTTTCAGCTTTCGGCGCTCTCACATTGTGAATGACAATTACTCAGGCATACAACACTGTATCTAAATGAAATTATTATCATTTTTTTCAAACAAATAGAGCTTTAATTTGGTGGTATTTAATCATCACTGGGGTTTTTATTTTTTGCTAGAAAAATGAAAAAAGACTGAAAATTTTGAAAAAAAACATGTTTTTCTTAGTATTTGATACTAAATTTTGCAAATAAATATACTTTCTTCATAAATTTAGGCCAAAATCCATTGTGCTACATTTTGTTGGTAGACATAACCCAAATCAGTGTGTATTATTTAGTCTTTGTGAAAGTTATAGAGTCCACAGACCACGGTATATATATTTGAAAATGTATCAATCCTGATGCACGGACTACCTATATAAATTCTTGGGGCCCTAAAATGCCAGGACAGTACAAATACCCCCCAAACGACCCCTTTTTGGAAAGTAGACAGTCTGAGGTATTTAATGAGAGGCATGGGGAGTTTTTTGAAGTTGTCATTTTTTGCCAATTTTTTAAGGAAATGATGAAAGTAAAAAAATTTATTTTTTTTTTTTTTCCCACAAAGTTGTCATTTAACAAGTTCTTTCTCTCACACGGCATAGGCATACTTGCAATTACACCCCAAAACACATTCTGCTATTCATCCTGAGTATGGCGATACCACATGTGTAAAACTTTTTCACAGCCTAACCACATAGAAGGGCCCCACATCCAATAAGCACCCTTAGGCGTTCTAGGGGCAAAAATTACACATCTAATTTATTGACTGTCTATCACAGTTTTGGAGGTCCTGGAGCACCAGGACAATTGAATTACCCACAAAATTACCCCATTTTCGAAAGAAAACACCTCAAGGTATGTTTTAAGAGGCATGGGGAGTCCTCTGAAGACTTCATTTTTTGCCACATGTTTTTGGAAAATGTGAAAAGAAAATGAAAATGTATTTTTTTTTTTACACAAAGTTGTCAATCTATGAGATATTTCTATTACACAGCATAGGCATACTTAAAATGATACCTCAAAACGCATTCTTTAACTCCTGCTGAATATGGTGATACCAAATGTGTGAGACTTTTTCACAGTCTGGCCACATAGAGGGGTTCCACATCCAATAAGCACCTGTTAGCGTTCTAAGGGCAAAAATTACACATCTAATTTCTTGACTACCTATTGCCGTTTTGGAGGTCCTGGAGCATCAGGGCAATGGAATTATCCACAAAATGACCTCATTTTGGAAAGCAAACACCCCAAGGTATGTTTTAAGAGGCATGCAGAGTCTTCTGAAGACTTCATTTTTTGCCACAAGTTTTTGGAAAATGCGAAAAGAAAATGAAAATGTATTTTTTTCTACACAAAGTTGTCAATCTATGAGATATTTCTAATACACTGCATAGGCATACTTAAAATTATAGACAATAAAAATTGGTGTGGCGCTAAGGCAAATAACACTAATCCCACATATCATATAAAATATAATATATATACATAAACAGATGATTATATATAGTCATGCATAAAACCTCTAACATAACCCCCAACTGGGGCACGTGAATAGATGCTAGTGATGGTGACACAAAACACCATGCAAAGGAATGTAAAATTCCTACAAGTGACAGAGGTGCATAAATTACAGTCCACTACACACAAAGACTGTGATCCTTGAACAAGCGTGAAAGTGCCACTGGTGTCACTGGTGTCACAATCCAGAAATGGTAAGAGTGCCTCCTCACCTCCCCGCACTGACCACAAGGGCCAATACGCCTTTGCACCTTATAGGTGTAATCCTCGAGTGCCAGCCGGTAAGGTCCACACTGGATGCTACCTCAGACGCTGTAATCCCAAATGCCAACTCCAGCTGCTATATAGTGGTGGTATTAAACCACCAGATGATGCTCAGAGACATAAGAAGAGACTTGCCATAGCGTGATACCGCAATATTTATTGATAAGATTGTAAACAAATAGAATGCCCACTCACATGTCCATAATAAGAATACAGCCTTAAAATGATCCTCCTGAATCCTCGTGCTATGGGTGTACCCGGAGTCCCAATATGGCGCGTGCGTCGGAAGTGACGTCACCGCGTACCGGAAGTGTCGTCAGGGCGTACCAACGCGTTGCGTCACGAATACCACGTGACTTCATCACTTTGACCCTGATGAAGTACGAGGATACCACCACTATATAGCAGCTGGAGTTGGCATTTGGGATTACAGCGTCTGAGGTAGCATCCAGTGTGGACCTTACCGGCTGGCACTCGAGGATTACACCTATAAGGTGCAAAGGCGTATTGGCCCTTGTGGTCAGTGCGGGGAGGTGAGGAGGCACTCTTACCATTTCTGGATTGTGACACCAGTGACACCAGTGGCACTTTCACGCTTGTTCAAGGATCACAGTCTTTGTGTGTAGTGGACTGTAATTTATGCACCTCTGTCACTTGTAGGAATTTTACATTCCTTTGCATGGTGTTTTGTGTCACCATCACTAGCATCTATTCACGTGCCCCAGTTGGGGGTTATGTTAGAGGTTTTATGCATGACTATATATAATCATCTTTTTATGTATATATATTATATTTTATATATGATATGTGGGATTAGTGTTTTTTGCCTTAGCGCCACACCAATTTTTCTTGTCTATATACGTACTTTTTGGTTTAAAGGAGGGTGTTGGCAGCTTAGTGTAGGTTTTTCTTCATCTGAAGCGCAGGAGGTATTAATATTCATACTTAAAATTACACCCCAAAACACATTCTCTAACTCTTCCTGAATATGGTGATACCAAATGTGTGAGACTTTTTCACAGTCTGGCCACATAGAGGGGTTCCACATCCAATAAGCACCTGTTAGCGTTCTAAGGGCAAAGATCGCACATCTAATTTCTTAACTACCTATTGCTGTTTTGGAGGTCCTGGAGCATCAGGACAATGGAATTATCCATAAAAATACCCCATTTTGGAAAGCAAACACCCCAAGGTATGTTTTAAGTTCTCCATCACTCTCATCTGTCATACTCAGAATTTGAAATGCCTCCTCGCTTGTACAGTTGTGACCAAAATTATTCAACCCCCAATGCTGTAAAGGGGTTTAGGGACTATAGTGTACATTTGGAATTGTATTCAGAATCAAATCCTACAAGGACGTTGTAACTACCCAAATGCAACTAAAATGACATCAATTGTTTATGTAATACAGTAGTAAATGGTTCTATGTGGTTTTCATTGCCACAATTATTCAACCCCTTAAAGACTACCACTCTGAAGAACAGAGGTTCATACAGGTGCTTTCCATCAGGTATTGAAAACACCTGTGGATGTCACCGAGCAGCAATCAAGCATAATAAGCACCAATTAGGCAGCTTTAAAATGACTGTGATACTCAGCTCCTTCTAGACATTTACTGGTGTGGTTACAAACATGGTGAAGGCAAGAGAATGGTCCAGGAAGACAAGAGAAGAGGTGATTTCTCTTCACAGGAAGGGCAATGGCTGAAGATTGCAAAGATGTTAAACATACCAAGAGACACCTTAGGAAGCATCATTCGCAAATTCAAGGCAAAGGGCACTGTTGAAACGCTACCTGGTCGTGGCAGAAAGAAGATGCTGACTTCGACTGCTGTGCGCTACCTGAAGCGTAGAGTGGAGAGAAGTCCCCGTGTGACTGCTGAGGAACTGAGAAAAGATTTGTCAGATGTGGGTACAGAAGTTTCAGCCCAGACAATAAGACGCACACTGCGTAATGAAGGCCACCGTGCCAGAACTCCCAGGCGTACCCCCTTGCTGTCTCCAAAGAATAAGAAGAGTCGACTGCAGTATGCCAAAAGCATGTGGACAAACCACAAAAGTTGTGGGATAGTGTTCTGTGGACTGATGAAACAAAATTAGAACTGTTTGGGCCCATGGATCAACGCTATGTTTGGAGGAGGAAGAACAAGGCCTGATGGCCTACTGTGAAGCATGGTGGATCAATCATGCTTTGGGGCTGTTTTGCTTCTGCAGGTACAGGGAAGCTTCAGCGTGTGCAAGGTACCATGAATTCTCTTCAGTACCAGGAGATATTGGATGGAAACGTGATGCAGTCCCCGTCACACCTGAGGCTTGGGAGACGTTGGACCTTTCAACAGGACAATGATCCCAAGCATACCTCCAAGTCCACTAGAGCATGGTTGCACTGGCTGGACATTGTGGAGTGGCCATCGCAGTCACCAGACTT